GTCACAATCATTCCATCAAGTACAACCTGTTTAGGTTTGTGGAAGGAAAAGGCAGCTGAAAGTGATTTTATAGTGCTTTAAAAATGAAGATACGTTCTTTTTAGTCTATGGCCAGTTTCTGTCTGCAGGAGGAAAGTCAGGAAAGCCATCAAATAGTTGTGATGATCCCTGATAGTTTTCTCCAAATTCCAGTGACCCCATACTTTTTTCTCTATCCAACTTCTTCCTCAGCTTCTCTTTAATTAGAGTCCCTGGTCCATCTTTATTTCCCCTCCAGCTTTACTGGGATATTATTGACATATAACATATGTCAACATATGTTTAAGGGACACAATGTGATGATTTGATACACATATATATTGCAAAATGGTTACCCCAATAAGGTGAGTTAACATTTCCATCTCCTCGCATAAAGACTACTTTTTTCAAGATTTTATTTATTCATGAGAGACACACACAGAGAGAGAGGCAGTGACACAGGCAGAGGGATAAGCAGGCTCCATGCAAGGAGCCCGATGTGGGACTCCATCCTAAGACTCCAGGATCACGCCCTGAGCCGAAGGCAGACGCTCAACTGCTGAGCCACCCAGGCATCCCATAAATACTATTTTTTAAGAGTTTATTTATTTGAGAGAGAGAGAGACAGAGAGAGAGACAGAGAGAGAAAACGAGTGGGAGGAGGGCAGAGGGAGAAGACTGCCTGTAGAGCAAGGAGGCTGGCAAGGGAGTTGATCCCAGGACTCTGAGCTAAAGGCAGATGCTTAACCGACTGAGTCACCCAGGTGCCCATAAATACTATTTTTTTTGCGGTGATAATATAAATTTAAGGTCTACTCTTGTAATAACTTTCAAGTATGCAATACAGTATTGTTAATTATAGTCACCATACTGTACATTATATCCCCAGGACTTACTTGTGTTACTGTGGGAGTTTGTATTACTGTGAACCCTTTGCCTGGTTCATCTTTTTTTTTTTCTTTAAGATTTTCATTTATTTATTTGAGAGAGAGAGAGAGAGAACAAGTAGGGGAAGTGGTAGGTAGAGGGAAAAGCATATTCCCCATGGAGCAAAGAGCCCAAGGCGGGGCTCAACCCCAGGATTCTGGGATCATGACCTGAGCTGAAGGCAGATGCTTAACCAACTGACCTACCCAGGTGTCCTTACCTGGTCCATCTTTAATCACTTCCTTGACACACAGTCAACCACCTCCCTTCCCACATCCCTCCGCCACTGAACTCTTCTAGCAAAATTTGCTGCTGGTTAAATCTCTCTGCCTACGCTAGTCTACCACCCATGCCTGAACCCAAGCAGCTGAATGTGGCTGGAGAAAAACACAACCCCCTCAGCCTGTCTCACTTTAAATTTATGATGTCACATCTCAGGTGGGCCCATAGGGCTGCCTGCCAGTCCTATCACATTTCCCTAGGGAATTCACTTGCCCATTCTCCAAGATGACTATTTCACACTTTTTCCTCTCACCTCCAAACACCAACATTTCTTTTTTTCCTTCTTAGTTTCTTTTTTGACTGAGAAAACAAAAGAAATATGAAGACAACTTTCTTTTTTTTTATTATAAATTAATTTTTATTGGTGTTCAATTTACCAACATACAGAATAACACCCAGTGCTCATCCCGTCAAGTGGAAGACAACTTTCATATATTCCCATCACCAGATCTATCCTTCTGCCTGCACTCGTGCCCACTGCAGTGGAGGAGGTGTCTGAGCCAGCCTGTGCACTGGATCCCATCCCTTCTCAGTCACAAGAAAGAAACAGCCTTATACAGTGGCCATTATGAGACAAGCTTAGTCCTTAGTACTTTATGTATTAACTCATGTAACCATACAACAGCCCCGAGAGGTAGGAAGAACCCCAGTTTTACAGATGAGGAAGATGAGGTACAGTAATGTGTCCAAAATCACAGAGTCATAGTACTTTGGTGTGGCTTGAGTCCATGTGTACAACCCCTTGCCATACCTCATCTCCAGACATTCCCCAGCAGCCCTCTCCCCTCTCTCCTGAGTCATCATTACCCCCCCTGCCACTAGATCTTACCCATCAACTTACAAGCAAATTCTAGTATCTCCTATTTTCAGAAGCTACCCTGGACCCCCATATCTTCCTCTAGCTACCCTCTTCCATCCCTCTTCTTTTTTTTTTTAATTTTATTTATTTATGATAGTCACACACAGAGAGAGAGAGAGGCAGAGGCACAGGCAGAGGGAGAAGCAGGCTCCATGCAGGGAGCCTGATGCGGGACTCGATCCCAGGACCCCAGGATAACGCCCAGGGATGAAGGCAGGTGCTAAACCCCTGAGCCACCCAGGCATCCCAAGGCTTTTGTTTCTGCTGTTCCTTCTGTTCCCTGTTGCCGGGAATGCTCCTGTAGATATTGACCTAAATTAAACAATAGAATTCATTATTTTGATATAATCTCTGTTCAAACTTTACCTTACCAGAAAAGTTTTCCTTGATCTCCCCACCCAAAAAAAAGCAGAGATTGACATTTTCCATCTTCTTATCAGTTTTTTTTTTCTTATCAGTTTTAATCAGAGTGTAATGTTGTATCATCTGTTGTGAGCTGTGTGTCTCACTGAGTGGCATATTCGCTCCAGGAAGGCAGAGACGGTACTGGTTTATTCCTACTGTCTGGAACTAGGTGTTTGAGAAATAGTCATTGAATTTTTGGAATAGTGAGAGGTATTAAGTCCTACAAAGTTAAAGTTTTTATAAGAATGAAAAAGATAAGATGTACTATTTTTTAAAAGTTAAAAAAAACCCTGTAAACAACAGGTGAAAAGGAATCTGTATGGAGAATATTATCTAGAAGCAGAAAAAGAGAGTGTCGGAATTCCTGTGTAGCTCTGATCTTCCCGCTTCCCTTCTCCACTATTTCATGTGGAGAGCCAAGAGAAGAGACCAGGGGAAGGTTCTCAGTTTTATGAGCTCTCATCTGGGGCTTCAGGGTGTATCCATGGTGAGGGAGGAGCCTTGAAGTATTCCTAGAAAATTAAAATTGGTGAAGCAAAGTAAAATTGGGGATTTTCTGTTTCCTAAATTCACTCCGCTTGAAGCATTGAATGTGACAAATTGTGAATTTAATTCTTAGGATGATGATAATGATTTTTTTCAAGTGTGCTTTTCTGACTGCCTTCGATCAATATCCTATTTCCTAATCTCCTTTAGAGTTGAATTGAGAATGTTGATGTAGTTGTTTCCACTTTCTTGGGTCAATTTTCCAACAGGAGCCAGGAGTGGATATATGTACCTCTCATTTAACATCTTCTACTCACTGATATGGAAGGAGAATAGAAGGAAAATTATGCCAAAATAATGAATTTTTTTGTTTAGTATTATAAGATACAAAAGGATTGGGACACTCTTGAAATTCTGTTAGTATTTTAGTGTATTTTCTCATGGGCAGATCTTTTTTTTTTAATATTTTATTTATTTATTCTTGAGAGACACAGAGAGAGAGAGAGAGGCAGAGACACAGGCAGAGGGAGAAGCAGGCTCCATGCAGGGATGGATCCCGGGACTCCAGGATCATGCCCCGAGCCAAAGGCAGGCATTCCCACCCCCCTTTTTAAAATTAAAGTATAGTTGACACACAATGTTACATTAATTGCAGCTGTACAGCCTAGTGATTCCACAAGTCTATACTTTATGCTACGTTCACCACAAGTGTAGCTACAACCTGTCACCATACAATGCTATTACAATACTATGGGCTGTATTTCCGATTTTGTGCCTTTTATCTCTGTGACTTATTCATTCCATAACTGGAAGCCTGTATCTCCCACTCCTGTTTGCCCAACCCCCATGCGTTTTCCCTCTGGCAACCATCAGTTTGTTATCTGTATTTATGGGTCTGTTTCTCCTTTTTGTTTATTTGTTTATTGATTTGTTCTGTTTTTTAGATTCCCCATGTGAATGAAATTATATGGTATTTGTTTTTCTCAGTCTGACTAATTTTGTTTAGCATAATACCCTCTAGGTTCATCCGTGCTATTGAAAATGGCAAGATTTCACTCCTTTTTATGGCTGAGTAGCATTCTGTGGTGTGTGTGTGTGTGTGTGTGCGTGCGTGTGTGTATCACATATATATGTATATATATATACATCTATATATATATGTGAATGTGTGTGTGTGTATATATATATATATATGTATATATATCACTTCTTTATCCATTCACCTGTCCATGGATACTTGGGTTGCTTTCATATATTGGCTATTGTAAATAATGCCACAATAAACATAGAGCTGCATGTATCTTTTTGAATTCGTGTTTTCATTTTCTTTGGGTAGAATTACTGGATCATATGGTATTTCTATTTTTAATTTTTTGAGGAATCTCCATAAGTCTTCCACAGTGGCTGTACCAATTTGCATTCCTACCAACAGTGCATGAGGGTTCCTTTTTCTCCACATCTTCAGTAACACTTATTTTTCTCATCTTTTTGTTTCTAGCCATTCTGACAGATGTAAGGTGATATCATTGAGGTTTTGATTTGTATTTCCTTGATGATTAGTGATGCTGAGTATCTTTTTATCTGTCTGTTGGCAATCTGTATATCTTCTTTGGAAAAATATCTATGCAAGTCTTCTAATTTTTAAACTGGATTATTTGTTTCTTAGGGATTGGGTTCTATAATTTCTTTATATATTTTGGATATGAAATTGTGGGTACATCTTCAGTGACCTCCAGCAAAAAAAGGGAAGGGATGTTTCCTACCTTCGTAAATATAAACTAATAAAAATTTATATTTCCTGAACTGTTACTCCATGTACACATGCTCTCTAGTAATTATCTGACACCATACACCTATGGTGAGCACATGATCTTGCAAGGCCCACATCACCCAACTTTGGCTATGAAATTTGTTTGAAAAAGTCAACTACAATTATTTTGTAGTGTTTGGGTCATTTCAAAAGATTCATATGTAGGCATTTACTGTGTTCCTTTGTGTTTCTTGGTGATTTCTTTTTTCCTAGAGGGAGAAGAAGATGAGGATGAAGAGGATGAGGAGGAGGAAGAGGAAGAAGAGGAAGATGAGGAAGAAGATGAAGAAGATAAAGAAGGAGAGACCCTGGATGAGAGCTTGGATGGTGATGCTGAGCTGCCTGGGTTTACTCTCCCTGGCATCACGTCTCAAGAACCTGGCTTGGAGCAGGAAAATCTGGGCCCGTTGGAGGGAGCTACCTACCAGGTGCCAGACGCTATCGAGTGGGAACAGCAGAATCAGGGCCTGGGTAAGAGTCACTCGTGTTTCTTTCTTCCTTCCCCCTCTCCTCCTTTTATTTTCTTAAGGTGGCAGCTTGCTTTCTTGGCATCAATTATGGAGCAAAATGGACTTTCTGGTTATGTTTATGGATGGTTCATTTCAGAAAAGTTATCAGTTTTTTCTTAGATGTTTATATTTAGTGTGCTCTTAAATAGCTAGCCTCCAAATAGTCTCCAGCTGCCCACTGAGAGCACAGTTACCTAGTTTTTGGAAGGAATTCCATCTTTCCTTCCCAGCTGGAAGACAACTATTGGTTTTGGGAGGACTTCCAAATGGAGAGAAGACATGAGTAACCAGTGTGCTGAACAAGCAGCATGAATGGTCTGCAGTCAGAAAACAAATATATGGAGTTACCTTCTGTCCCTGTAGAATTTGCTTCCTAGGGGAAATTCTTCCCCCACTTCTGAGTGTGCGCTCAGCAGGCTTGTTACTTTTCGGTTTCTTCTTAGGTTTTATTTGGTTGGCAGATACAGTCTCAGTTTAGCAGTCAGTGTCCAGACACCTACGTACTTGCTGTCTCTCGGGCATGGCCCAAATTATCCTGGAGAGGCTCCATGGGTGCAGGCTGACCTCACCTCTGACACTCTCTTCCCCATCAGCAGGGAAGCTCCTTGGTCTCTCTCCTTTTGGCTTTTTCTGGAGAGATGCTATAAGCTCTGGTGATTCCTTGAGGCCTTACTCTCTTCATTTGAGGTAAGATGATCTCTTCTCTAAAGAAATACCCTCTCTGAAATTCTCTTAGTCTTTAACAGCCCCTTTTACAACCTTCAGTGCAGCAGAGGTTAGGTTTATTTTTTAAAATTTTTAAAAAAGATTTTATTTATTCATGAGAGACACCGAGACATAGGCAGTGGGAGAAGCAGGCTCCCTGCTGGGAGCCTGATGCGAGACTTGATCCCAGGACCCCGGGATCACGACCTGAGCTGAAGGCAGATGCTCAGCCACTGAGCCATCCAGGCACCCCAGCAGAGGTTAGGTTTAAAAGTCACATAACTAATGTTTGGCAATTTCATTGAAAATTTGGATGTTGGTCTGGAACTTTGCTCTGGAATATCATGCTAGTGTATTATGGTGCCTTGATTGAAATATCCAATTTCGAATCTTATTGCATATGATTTCTTAAAGATCATTCTCCTCTTTCATGAAAACTTTTAGATCAGTGGTGAGAAAGGGTGAGTACATTAATACAAGTGCAGAGCAGGAAAATCACTGTGTCAAGTTATTGCATGATTGTGTAGTTTAAAATAAGCTCCTTTTTTTTTTTTTTTTAAATTTTTATTTATTTTATGATAGTGACACACAGAGAGAGAGAGAGAGAGACAGAGACACAGGCAGAGGGAGAAGCAGGCTCCATGCATCGGGAGCCCGACGTGGGATTCGATCTGAGGTCTCCAGAATCGCGCCCTGGGCCAAAGGCAGGCGCCAAACCGCTGCGCCACCCAGGGATCCCTAAAATAAGCTCCTTTTAAAATAAGATTTTGTTTAATTATTTAAGAGAGCACGTTCATTTGTGCATATGAGTCGGGGTGGGGGACAGAGGGAGAGGGAGAAGCAGACTCCCCGCTGAGCAGGGAGCTCCGTGCAGGACTTAATCCCAGGTGCCCAAGATCATGACCTGAGCTGAATGCAGATTCTTTACCAACTGAGCCACTCAGGCACCTCAGGATTTTATTTTTTTTAAAGATGAAATTAGACTTGGTAAAACTTTTAAAGGTTTGTGGTCTAAGGAGGAATACTTTTCTTTGATGAACTGTCCTTTTGATCTGGTTAATTAATTCATCCAACAAACCTCACTGAGCACCTACTCTGTTCCTGGCACTTTGCATGGGGACAGAGAGGAAAGCCAGAGTGGTGCCTTTCTTTGATTAGAGCAGAACCCACTTCATAAAGTTTCAGTGTGGGGAGGGTGAGTTTTATAATAAAAGTAGGTTATTAGAGGGCAAAACAGAAATGTGGAAGGGGGTCCTCCTATCCTGCCTCCTGATTCCAGCCCCATGCATAGCTAAGTATTTTTAAATTAGAGATAACAATTTAGTGATTTGTTATGCTTTTTTTAAATAAATATTTTATTTATTTATTCATAGAGACAGGGAGGGAGAGACACAGGCAGAGGGAGAAGCAGGCATCATGCAGAGAGCCTGACATGGGACTCGATCCAGGGTCTCCAGGATCACGCCTGGGCTGCAGGCAGCGCTAAACCACTGCGCCACTGGAGCTGCCCATTTGTTATGCTTTTAAAAGTGATTCCCGTAAGTCCTGAGGGTTTTTTTTTTTTTTTTTAACATATCAGAGTTTTTCTTATTATAATTATTTACCATTTCTCCAGATATGTATTACCTTTTACTGTCACTTCCTTTTCTGATAAATTCATTCTATCAACATGTTTTTAGCACTGAGTTTCCTGAAAACCAAAGAAGGAACAAATTGTCCAAGCTGTTTTTTTTTTTTCTTTCTTCTCACTTTGGGAAGACTGTGTTTGAGTAGTGTCTGGCACTAGAATTTTATTTGCTCATCACCTTTTTCTTGGAGTCACAGGGATATCTCCTAGTCACTCACAACCAGTAATAACTTCTGGATCAACATTAATTGATAACAGTTTTCTAAATACTCTCAGGTCAGATGAGGTAGAGGAAAACCTCTCCTATTTGTGATGGATTTTGTGGTAGGTGGGGTAGTGGCTCCCCAAAGATGTCTGTGTCCTAATCTTTGAAGCTTGTGAATTTGTTATGTTTCATGGTAAAAAGGACTTTAGTGAGGTGATTGAGTTAAGAATCTTGAGATGGGAGGTTATTCTGGATCATCTGGGGGGCCAATATAATCACATATGTCCTTATAGGGGGGAGGTAGGAGAGTCAGAGTCAGAGGAGATGTGATGAGAGAGGCAGAGGTCAGAGTGATGTGGTCATGAGCCAAGGAATGCTAGCTGCTCCCAGAAGCTTCAAAAGGCAAGGAAATTGATTCTCCCCTGAACCTCTAAAATACAGTCCTGCATATACCTTGATTTTAGCTAAGACCCATTTCAGACTTTTGACCTGCAGAACTATAAGATGTTAAATTTGTGTTGTTTTGAGCCACAAAGTTTGTGGTAATTTCTTACAACAGAAATAGGAAACTAATAGAGATTTCAATAAGTACTTTATGGGAAACATCATTTTAGAATGTAGAGCTGCATGGTAGCTATAGTCAGAGTGTGAACATTGTAAACTTAAATGTAGTTTCTTCTTTTTTTTTCTTTAGATATATTTATTCTAGAGAGAGAGTGTGCATGGGCACATGTGTGAGCTGGGGGTGAGCAGACTCCCCACTGAGCATGAGGCCCAAAGCAGAGTTCAATCCCAGGACCTGATACCATAACCTGAGCCCAAATCAAGAGCTGGCCACCCAACTGACTTAGCCACCCAGGTGCCCTAACTGTAGTTTTTTTCCTGAATGAGTCATTAAAAGTGCAAAAATTGAGAACTTTCAAAAAGTAATTCTATTTAATATAACACTCTTATTGACCTTCAGACCTGTTTTCTGGTCGGTTATTTTATTTATAGATTACCACATCATATATTATAATATGAATGATATTCCAAAGCAAATGCTAAAACCCATATAAACCTTTAAAAATGAACAGATTGAAGTGGGTAGCTGGGATTGACTAAAAATAACACAAACTCTTTGAATAGATTATAGTTTCATTTCCTGTGAAGTAACATGGGCAGAAAACTTAGATGACTTTCTAAGGCAAAGCAGTAGATTCATGGCCTCGTATTCTCTGAACTACTGCTTTCTGCATTGTCACATACACGTCGCCTCTACAGCGTTGGAGGGAGAGAGCTCAGCTGTTTCTTCTTTTTTTTTTAACGATTGTATTTATTTATTTGAGAGAGAGAGTGAAAGCATAAGCAGGGGGAGGCAGACTCTCCACTTGTGGGGCTTGATCCTAGGACGCTGAGACCATGACCTGACCTGAAGGTAGATGCTTAACTGAGCCACCCAGATGCCCCGAGAACTCAGCTTCTTGATCTTGCTGTGAAGTGTGAGTGGAATGAACTGTATGTTGTCAGGATAGAATTAGGAGCAAAAGTCTCCTATTCTGGCTGAGGGGGATAGATTGGTAAAATGCTAGTAGCACGCAGGAAGTTCTTTATACACATATGCAGAATCAATTTCTTCTCTTATCTAACAAGTTCATTTTCAAATTTATTGACAAAGACCTGTACAGAGAGCAGACGTGGTGACTCACACCACTTCTGATCCTGTTATGTACTATATAATAAATCATACAACTATGCCTTTTATCGTATAAAATCAATATGACCAAAGTTGAGTCAACACATCCATTTTAATGCCAAAACATTTCCAATGTAATTAATACCTAGGGATTCTTTCCTTTTTGCATTCTATCTCTGTCAGGATACCTTTAGCTATAGGTAGTGGGAACCTTAAGTTAAGTTTGTTTAAAGAGTAAAGAAATATGTTTTCTTTGAAAACAAAACAGTCCTTGGTGTGTTGACTTTTCCCCTGGACTGTCTTCCTTATGGTTGCAATGGCTGCAGTCGCTTCGGGTGTCATACCCAGAGAAGACATTGTCCAGAGAAAAGGAAACTGTCTCTTCACTGTTTCTTTCTTAAGAGAGAGCCTTTCCAAGAATCCCCCAGTAGAATTCTTCCTGCCTCTAATTGGCTGGGATTAGGTCACATGCTCATTTCTAAACAGCCAATGCAGTGAGACTGTGATCACCTGACTGGTGGGATGGGTGGAGGTGGGGGTCAATCACCAGGTGATCTCCTGTGATTCCTGTTTTTCCTCTCACTTCCTTGTACCTGATACTTTCCATCTATCCTCTAAGAATCCCATGGTCAATCCTATTCAGTTAATAACCTTGTTTTCAATATGTTTTGATTTCATAGGTGGCATTGTTCCATTCTCTTCCTCAGGAGACCATTTTGACACTTTTTAGTTTGGTTGATGTTCTGGATG